TTAGTCATTGCGCATGTGAAAAACGTTGATTCACTCCGCCCGTTTCATTCAGACGTAGCAAACGTTGTTGCCTAGAGCACTGTGGGTCAGCACGTGAATTCATTGTACTAGCCTCTCCTCTCTGCATATATAAATTCCAGCACTTCCCCCTTCTCTCTCCTCACTACAACTCTTGGAGTTCCTCTACCACTCGCGCTCAACCGCGCAAGAGAGATCTCGTTCTTTTCAGACCTCCTGCCTCCTATCTATGCGCTACTCGATGCGCTCCCTCCGTCCAGTAGGTCGGCATTGTCGCTACTGAGGTCCCGTTGGACTTCGACCCTCCATACGTGTGCCGCAAACGAATGTGGGCAATGCGACCGCAAGGTCGACGCACGTTGGAGAAAAACGTGTGCTGCGGGCAACTGCGGGCAAAGCGACCGAGAGGTCGACGCATGTCAAAACAAGAACGTGTGCTACAAATGACTGTGGGCAAAGCGATCGAAAAATCGACGCACGTTATATACCGAGCTATATGTGCTGCAGGCAACTGCGGGCAATGCGAACTGAAAGGTTCGACGCATATAGCTCTGTACGAGGCATGTGTCGCATGTAAATGTGGGCAATGCGGACCGAAAGGTTCGACGCATGTCGATGGTATGTGCTACGGGCAACTGTAGGCAATGCGGATCGTGAGATTCGACGCATACCATAAAACCAGACATGTGCTGCAAAAGACTGCAGGCAAAGCGAGCCGTGAGGTTCGACGCATTTCTGCGACATGTGCTACAGGCAACTGTGGGCAAAGCGGATCGTAAGACCCGACGCATGTCGAAGAAAATACCGTGTGCCGCAGCGGAATTGTGGGCAAAGCGAATTGAAAGATTTGACGCCCGGAGGGAGCCGTGGGCCACAAGTTTTACTTGGGGTAAAGATGGACATGGTCCATCGCACGGCAAGGAGCATGCAGCATGCGAGAGCTGGCTGCGAGCGATTTGCTCATATGGTCGGCGAAAGCCGATACCATCTTATCTTCGTATTGCACGGATGCGTGTCAATCCGCAGTCTCTTAAGACATCTTTTTCGTTGAGTTTTGGCTCTTGCAGCCAGTCTTGAAGAAGGGGATATATGAAGGATGGAGGGAGAGACAGGAGGTGCTCATCCATGTAAGAGACTTCATATTGTGCCGTACAACCTCAGCCGTTAAGGCTTGCCATCGCATAGTTTATCCACCTATGAACTCTTCCCTTCTTGCTTCTATCCTGACCATCTTTCAACTCTTCCTCATGTTTGATATCATCCTTCTTCTTTTCGGCTTTGCGCTGTTCCTCCAGCTTCACTCGCTTTTCCACTGTTAGAAGTTAGCGCGCAACTTGGATTCCGGTCAGAAGGGGTGATTACACTCTGCTTTGCTGTAAACGTTGGTTCCAACTCCTGCACTATCCATAATGATGACTCTAGCAAGATGCGTTGACGACCGTAAAAAGGTGACGTGTGGCTGGTCAAAGACTTCATGTCGGCGACGACGTGCTGTCGTGGAGGCGGTGTAGCTTTAAGTGTACGCAGTGATGATCGAAGGATTCGCTTCGATGCCGGTAAGGGGGCTGAGCACTGCCTCCGCCATAAGAAATAGCACGAACTAGCTGTAATCAGCAACGACAATGCGGAGACATATACGCCGCTACATAATGAGCAACGAAGGTCAGCATAATGAATCGATACTTCATAGTCATATTATGATCGGTACTTCTATGTTGGACAACAACCCTAGAGTTCATTGCCTGTGGTATGCACATCATCATCCTCATCGCAAGCTATCGCACCATGCGAAATGGCCATAACATGTCTTCTACTGCATGAACTTCTCAACATCGGAGAAAGTTAAGCGCCCATTCGAAACCTATTTCTTGGAGGCGACTTTGGCGAGGTCGGCAAGGGCCTCGCGGCGCTTGAACTTGGCATCCTGGATTACGCCTGCATGTGTCAGTCTCAGTTGAGTATATGTATCGTTTTCTTCACTTACTGGCATCGGCATCGCTGCTGAAGTTGCCAGACCATGTGATGAAGGTCTTGCCCTCATGTGCGCCGGAGGTGACGGGGTATACGCGGATGGTGGACACGACGGAGGAGTAAGAGAGCTCGGGCTTGGAAGTGATGACGGAGTATGTGATGAAGTGGTCGATGGACTGCAATTACGAGTCAGTGGCTGCTGGTGTCGTTTGCACCAATGCATCACTTACGGAGTGCTCCTCCTGCTTGACCTCAAGCTCGGCGCCGTCCTTGAAGGTCCACTTGACGATGTCCGTCTCCTCTGAAGTGCCCTTGACAAACTCGCTCTTGTCGAGCTTGGACCAGAACTTGCTGAAGTCCTGGAGCTTGATCAGGTGCCAGACATCGCTGAAAGACGCGTCGATGACGGCTGACTCGCTGACCGAGGTGGAGGTGGGGATGGATCCAGACATGTTGGTTTGGGTGGTACGATTGGAATCTTCTTAATTGGTTATGAGGTTTACGGGTGATGCAATGAAGATTGGTCGTCAGGGTCGTGGTTGAAGAAGAAGTTTGGTGGGGCGCGCAGTTTGTTGCAGACTAATGGCGTCATAGCGAGCTGCACTTCGGAAAGCTGCAGCTACCCCTCCTCCGCATCGCGACTGCTCGACATCGCCACTAGGTGCCCCCATCCTCATGTATCGTGACATCTGAGTGCATTCCTTGTCTTCAGTACCCTGGTATACGAGATACACAAGACAGTAGCTCTTCGCTGGGCTCCCTCACACGACTGACAACCGTATATTTACCTAGGTAGGGATTTCAAGACCTTGGGCGGCTATAATACTCCAGACCACGTAAGGTGTTCTCTCTCAGATCGCGCTGTATACTGCAATATGGTACGATACTTGTCGAAGTTTCCTGGTTTCACGCATTGTACACGGTGGGTGGTCTTGTCACCACTCCCGACACTCTCTACAACCTCAAGCACCTCCGCGCTTTTCCTTTCGACATATTTCCAACGCATTCTCTTTTTGCTTTTGCATGCGGGCAGGTGATACCTCCGTCGGCGTTCATGTCCTATCCCGAAAGCCCATCGTACACCACCGTGCAATGCCTGTGGCCAATCACAGTCCTACCGCCACAGCCACCGCCACATCGGAGGAAATCAAGCCCCGACCTGCAAGCCGCCTGGACGCGCAACGCCTGTTTGCCTGCTCACCACCCGGTTAAGCGATACCCCAGGCACGCGGCCTGGATGCATATCGTCGATGGTCCTTCTGGTAATTTCTGTATCCTTCTTTTGACTTCCCAAAATGATGGGTGATTGGTCTCTGCATGCAAATGGCGCGATTGGTAACCCGAGAGGCTGCCCATATGGGTGGCAAGTAAGTCAGAGGAGGGGTACACATACGTACGTTCGCACGTGCGACCTGATGCCTGGAGCCGTTTGCTTTGTATAAGACGCCGAAAAAGGTAGGCTATGATACTCAATCCAAACACCGCACTTCCTTCTACTTTACGACACAAGTCATCATCATGCCATCAGTCACATACATGAACAACTCCGCTCCCTTTTGGGACTTTGTCGCCGGTCTCGAACAGCAAGGCTCGCAGCACCCATTCTTTGCACAGAACCGTAACGATGGTACCGACAACGATCGCGAGATGCCAACTCAAGACGCCCAGGATCCCTTTGCACCGTTCAGATGGGGTCACTTCTTTGGTGGCGAAAGGGGAATGCCTCACCACGGAGGGCCTCCTCATGGTCGCCCCGAACATCGTCATGAGACAGCTACTGGCGAGTCGAACCAAGAACGCAATGAACAACCTGAAGCCGAGAAGGATGCTACTATGAACGCTGAGTACGACAACGGTGAAGGCCCATCGGCCAACTCTGGCTCCGACAATGACGCTCACAACGGCGGCCGCCCACATGGTCGCTGGGGTGGAGGACGTCGAGGACGCTGTGGCCAGGGCGGTCCTGGAGGCTCTGGCCCACATCATCACTCCCACCCCTACGGAGGCTCACCCCGTCACGGACCACATCATCGCGGCCATCGCGGAGGCTGGGGCCCATGGGCACGCGGAGGACCCTTCGGAGGCATGGGCGGTGGACCTTTCGGTGCCGGTGATAACGCCTGGAACTCTTTTGACCCCTCCGCCCTTGCTGCCCAGCTGTTCAACCAGTTCACTGACAGCCACCCTTCCAACACTGCCAACGCTACCAAGGCCACCGAGGCCGACGACTACACACCCGACGCCGATATCTTTGACACCGAGTCTGCCTACGTCGTTCACGTTTCGCTTCCCGGGGCCAAGAAGGAAGATGTTGGTGTAAACTGGGATGCTGAGAAGAGCGAGCTCAGCATCGCTGGTGTGATATACCGCCCTGGCGATGAAGAGTTCTTGAAGGCACTGGCCCTGAACGAGCGTAAGGTTGGAGCTTTCGAGAGGAAGATCCGCCTTGGGACGAGGGCAAACCCGGCCAGCGTTGATGCTGATGGTATTACAGCAAAGCTTGAGGATGGTGTGCTCAGAGTCGAGGTACCGAAGCTGGACTCTGGATACGTTGAGATCCGCAAGGTCGATATTGAGTAGGGCAAACGCTGTTATGGTTACAGAGACGCAAACAGATGATCGGGCTATGGTATGTCATGAGAAATTTTCTTTCGGATGTTTGGATTAATTGTATTGCTTTATAATAAAATGCTTCTACTATGACGTCCCATGGGTGTTTGCTCAGTTTCCTGTCGTTCTTTCTCCACCAACGTGGTTGAGCCAGGTCATGGCAAACCATGTAGCTCAGTGAAAGATGAATTGACTTTCCTCGCTAGCTGTTTCCGGCTTCACTAGCCCGGGGGGCGCAACGTCAGTGAAAGAGTCGGTTCAAAACAAGCGCTCACCTCCGATAAACCGGCTCACTACTCAGGCTCAAGTTTGCGTCACACCAAACGCATCTCGTTACCTTTGACTCTCAACTCTGACCTACACCACACCAGAAAGTTCAATCATAGCCCTTCTCCAAAGCCATGACTCCTCCTGCCGACCTCACTTCCTCAACGGATCAACCCCGTCGCTTCCCGACAGTCGAAGACGAGACCCTCACCGGTGAAGCCAGTCAGACAGCAACGACCATGTCGACCTCCGGATCATCTGCGGCTACAGAGGGGACAACCACCACCTCTGATGTAGCAGCTGCCGAACCACCGCCTCATGACATTGCCGACGTCGTCCTCTCATCGCTATCAGAGCACACAAAGCCTCAGCCCATGGACTCCGCTACCGGCAGCGCGGACGGAGAAAAGTCTCACCCCGGCTCTGCTAAGCGCAACACTCATCTGCCTGCACCAGTTTGCATTCAATCTGGACGAGGCTACATGTATTTTCCACGTGCATCGCTATCAGAGCACACGAAGCCTGAGCCCATGGACACCGTTACCGAAAGCGCGGACGCAGAAAAGTCTCACCCTGGCTCTGCTAAACGCGACACTCCTCTGCCTCCACCAATTTGCATTCGATCTGGACACCTGCAATACTACACCTCTTTCCCACGTACATCACCAGAGCAAGTCTCTTCGATCTTCCCAACTGAGCTTCCGCCGCGTCCTCCGCAGAAGCAATCGTTGTTGAAGCGGTTGCAAGGTTCATCTACGCGCCCTGCTCAGACCGACAAACAGGCGTCTCACGACCACACTTATCGAACGCCCGACATCGAGTTGGCTGCACCTGGTGAGACCGCGCGCTCTCACGATGCGAACCGGTCTCGAAGCCTGATGTTCTGGCTCCTGATTATGCTTGGAATCTGTTTGAGCAGTATCATCGGGATTGTCATTCACTGGGCTGTGACCCGTGAGGAGTAGCAGTTTCGAGGCAGAAGGTGTCTGAGTTGGATGCGGGAATGAAGCACTGGGATTGGAGGAGCGGAAGCTATGAAGATGGATGGGGATACTTACGGACGTATGGCAAGGCATGCTTAGAGTCTAGCATCGTATGAACATGGATGTCTTGCGAGCGCTCAGGTTTTGGAAGCTACCGGTGCTTTGTGCGCAGCTAGGGAGATTGCGCGCAAGTATGCACCAAATACAAGAAGAAAATTGGACACTCTGGAGTCTACATTATTGGAGAGTGTGCTACTTTGACCCGTTTTCATCGTGGTATAGTTTGCAGACCTGTTTGGTTTTTCCCTTGTCTAAGTGTATGTAGGCGGCAGGCGCTTCTGCGACTTACATAGAAAGCTTTCACTTGCGTGCTTCTACGATCCGGTGCTCAGTGTGAGAGTCTCGCTACTTCTAGAGCTATAGCCCTCTCGTTACGGCTCAAATCGCTTCCTCATTGAAATTGTCCTTGGAGCACGCATCAACTCACTCCATTAGACATGGCAAACAATATAAATCCCGCATACTATTTCACTCCTTTCCCAGCAGATCTCCCTCCACGACCCAAAGCGAAGCGTAACATCATCGCTCGCGCAATTTCGTCATTGTCCTCCCTATTCTCTTTCTACCCAAAGGATTCCGGGGAGCCAAAGATAGAAGAGGAGCTTGAGCGCTGCGGCTTCTCAGCCGAAGAGATTGCAGAATGCAAAGCAAGACAGGAACAATGGGATGATGAGTGGCGAGGGTCATGGCGGGGGTAAGGATGTCAACGCGTGGCTAACGACCGCGACGGCCATACGTAGATGAGGTCTGCTAGTTATAAGATGAATACTTCCGATACGCCGAAATTGATGAAAAGCTTGAAGGTCTGACGGTCACCGTGATGTCCAATGCTGACAGTGAGCTTATCGATACCGGCGCTACATGACTCGCGCGAGCTATGGCTTCCACAACATCAGCTCGAAGTCCACGAACACTACTTTGCTTTGAGAGCCATCATGTTTTCCACTTGGGACTACCCGCAAGTATCCGACATCGAAACGATCGCCAGGTACCGGCCAAAAGCCACGATAGATTTACACCGCAATCCGCGAACTTGGGTTCGGCCTGACAGGCGCGCCGAGCATTGGCATGCAGTCGCCTCTGGGCATCGTCACTCGAGTGGACAAAACCCATGTGGACCTTCCTCTTTGCGCAAAGAGCGGAGCTAGTATGGACCGTGGAACTACGATGGCTGGTCTCTTATCGCGAGAAGTCAGCACTATAAAGCAGAGCTGGTGAGTCGGACATGGCAATTGTACCTGCGTAGCCTCAGCCAACTAACGCGACAATGCAGCTCATCTCTCGCGTAGCCGCAGCCACGGCGGTCCTCGCCGGCAGCGTTTCTGCTGTGAACTTCACGGGCGATGTCGTGAACGGCGTCCCGGTCATCAGCGGCCTCGACCTCGCTGACGTGCCTCCCCAAACCGTCTCCAAGTATTACATGCGAGCTGGCGAGCTCAATGGCGGACACCCCGTGCATATTCCTATCATGGTTGCGCGCGGAACCCCGGAGAGCCTGCACACGGGCAAGAAGCTGTCGCTTTCAGCTTCGATTCACGGCGATGAGTTGAACCCGGTTCGCGTGGTTCAGCGCATGTTCGAGCAGCTCCAAGACCAGGTCGCGACTCTCAATGGCACAGGTATGTACCATGAATCCTCATGGAGATCATTGCTAACGTGTACGCAGTCATTGGTATTCCGACAGTCAACCCCATGGGTATCTACCTCAACCAGCGAAACTACTTCACGTCTGGTGCCAGTGGTTCTCTCACAAACGTCAACCGCATCTTCCCGGGTGTCTCGGCCATGGAAGGAGGCAGTGGTCCTGACATTTTGGCGTACAACATCTGGAACCAGATCTGGGCCAACACATCAAATGTTGACGTTGGCATTGACCTGCGTAAGCTCATAAAATTCAATGCCTGGTAAAACGCAGCTAACATGCTTTAGACACACCCAGCTCCGGCGGAGAGACCTCGCTATGGTGCTACTCCGACTTCCGCCTCCCCTACGTCGAGCGCCTCGCCAAACTCCTCCAACCCGATACCCTCAAGATCGACCCTGGAGAGCCAGGCTCCATCGAGACAACCTTTGTCGACTACGGCATTCCCTCGCTCACGGTCGAAATGGGTCAAGCCAAGGTCTGGAACAACAGCCTGATCGACCGCGTAGTCGACTACGTAAACCGCGTCATGGTCGACCTCAAGATGACGGGCACAAACGAGACCGTGGAGCCGGATCTCAGCAACACATACATGATCACCACTTTCCACGACACATGGTCGCAGTACGGAGGCTTCGTCGAGAGGCTTGTACAGGTCGATGAGCCAGTCACCAAGGGCCAGCCCATTGCCCACATCCGCAACCCCTTCGGTGATATCATCGAGACGCTACTTTCACCAGAGACTGGACGTATGTTCCAGAGCCCGCGTGACCCTAGCATCGAGCCTGGTGGCAGTGTAGGGCAAATCGCATACAACAGCACGGATCCGGAGTGTGCTGACGGATGCATCCTGTCTGGTCCTCAGGGCAGCAGGAGATAATTTAATGTTTAAGTAGCATCATAGTAACACGCTTACTGCACCATCTTGCTCGAGCACTCTTGCGTTTGCAAGGCCAAACAAGTCTTCGTGTTCTTCACGTAGGGAGGTGAACGTGCGATCCCCAATAGGCATTGGCCAACAGCGGATGTTGTACCTAGGTACAAACGAAAGACTCACACCTTCCTTAGACCTCTCCTGATGCCTGGATGATTTCTTAGATACACCTCTGCATACTCTTCACTCGCATGCGACCTAACAATCGTCATAATGTCTGCCACTCCTACTGCGACGCTGACTCGCGTCGGAGCGATTCCGTACTACATTCCATCACACTTGACGTCAATACCCCCACGGTCCCGCAGCTGTGTCTTTGGCTGCGCGCCTGATTTCAACGACGGACTTGTTCCAATCGCTTTACTTGTTCTTGAGAACGCGAGAGATGCGTCAGAACCCAACCTGTCCTCTACCGTTGAGTCCTGGCTCAAGACAGATGATGTGTTCAATAAGCATTTCCTGAAACACGTCTACTTCTTGGTTTCCGCAAACACCAAACTTTACCTGGACACTTTGGCCATCAGCATACCGGAAGAGTGGAAAAACCAAAGCGTTCATGCCGTGGTCGTGAACTCAAATAGAGATCTAGTTAGCTTCTGCGGTGGACCATATTTTGCCTCCGACGCTGGCATTTATCAGGCATGGCGCTTGTTTGACGACACGAACGAAGTTTTTCAGTTTCCAGTGGTTCCTGATGAGCATAGAGAGCATTCGTGCGTACTTCCTTGCTCCAGCATGATGCGCACTCTTCCACACTTGGCTCTGCTAATAACCTGTTCATAGATTTGGCATCCCTGGAACAGCTGCGATTCCAGTCCCTAGTCGTTGTTATCATGACAAACCCTCCAAATCCATGCCTCTTTCTGGTATTAGAGTAGCCATTAAAGACAACATCGATCTGAAGGGAGTGCGGACAAGCGCTGGCAGCCGGGCCTACCAGACCTTGTATCCCGAGAAAGAACGCAGCGCCGCCTGTGTTCAAGAGCTTATAGAGGCCGGGGCAGTGATTGTAGGCAAAACGAAAACAGTGCAATTCGCCTCTGGAGAAAATGCCCGAGATTGGATTGACTACTCTGCGCCGTTCAATCCTAGGGGCGATGGGTATCAAGAACCTAGTGGCAGTAGCACTGGAAGTGCCACCGCGGCATCGGCGTACGACTGGATAGATGCCACTTTAGGCACTGATAGTAAACTCACTTTTCGTTCGAAGCTTCTATCGGACTGATGCGTCCGTAGCATTTGGAAGCGTAGTAGGCCCTGCAGCCGATCACGGCTTATTTGGACTTTGCCTATCCTTAGGTGGCATATCGACGGAGGGGATTGTACCAGTGTCAAAGTAAGCATGAAGAGTTTACTCCTACCTGAATATGAGACTGACGCACGAACAGAGAACTCGACACTATCGGATTCTTCACGCGTAGCATTCAGATGGCTACCACGATGTCTCGAACGCTATGTGCTCGCGAGAGTACCAAGCCAACGTGCGCGGCCGGAATCGAGCTATTGTACCCAACTGATATCTTTTCTGAATGCCAAAACAAGTATCCATCCCACACAGGGCGTTTCATGCGTCACTTGGAAGACTTCCTGCAGGTCAAGCGAAAGAAGCTCGATATAGATGGCCTATTCAGGCGGCAAAGCATCGCTGGTGGAGCTTCACTGAAGAATTATCTAGATACCGTGGACGTCTCTGCTTCTATCTTCTCGAACATTTGTTGACGTTCATAGCAGACTATGGCGCATATTCAGCTATATGACTGCTATCAGAATTGTCAGACATTCGCGCGAGACTACAAGAAGGAGTTCCATAAGAAGGCATTTGCCGATCCTTATATCGAGTACAAATGGTGTGTCGTTATGTTGGAGATGATGTAAACTTTAGCTAATCGTTCGGTCAGGTCACTTGGCAAGGACCTCACGGTGGAGCAATATGAGCAAGCCATCAAGGAGCGAAATACCTTGAGAGACTGGATGTGTAGTACAATACTACCGCAGCCATCCGATGGATAAAGTTTGGACAAGATACTCGTCCTCCCGAGTGGAGATGCAGAACCTATGTACCGACACGAATATCCTAAGTAAGTGAGTATGTGACGGAGGAGGTAAAACAAGCTGACCTTGCATAGGAGATCACTCGAAGAAGGTGCGATCAAGAAGCAAGGTTTTGGTTACAAGCCAAGCCATAAACCTGTTCTTGCGGGCCTACCGTTCTTCACCATTCCCTGTAAGCCATGTTCCACGACACTACGACGTAACGCTTGACTCACACGTCCCAGATGGCCAGTATCCGTATAAATCGTCAGTCACAGGCAATTTAGATTACCTTCCAGGTGCCATCGGCGTAGTTGGCCCACAAGGTATGTTCGTCAGCGACTCTGCTCGACAGAATGGTCTGGTAACAATACCCAGGGAGTGAGACTGCGATGCTTGAACTGCTTCAAGAGTTTTTTGAAAAGACTCCCGAGTTGTGTGGTACGGTGTTAACGGGGTCGACTGCATTTCCGCGTGGGTAATGAAGCCTGTGTTTGGTGAATACAACAGAAGTCCACGGTCATATAGTATTTTTAGTCGGTTGTTTCATTACTTCTATCTAGCCCTGGACTGTCATAGCATCCAAGGCAACTTTTACACTTCAGCAAAGACTGATCGATACAGCCTTGCTAAAAGCGATACGCTCACACGATCATCCTTCGTGAACAAATGCACCTAAGCAGATGAAGGCTCCCTCTCCTCAGCAGGAGGGCCACCAACGTTACCCCTCTGACCAGTAGGCACATCATCAAGATTCCTCTGAGCAGCATGTGCAGGATCATCCTTCAGTTCCCTGATATCACCACCAGTAGTCTGGTCCTTGACGCCGCTAGCCAGGCCGGCCAGGCCCTGGCCCTTGCTGGAACCATCGTGGAGTTCTTGCGATGTTTGGCCTTGGACTGGCTGGCCGAGACCAGTGTGGACGTCACCTGAAGTGGCGCCTTGGAGGGTGTCGGAGGCTTGGTGGTACATCTTTTGGTTGTTTAGGTCGGGGTTGGGCTGGAAGGTCTTGGACGCTGGTGCGGTGCCGGCGGGCAGGGTTTGTGCGTTGAACTCGGGGACGGCGTCGTTACCGACGAGCTTTCCGGGTTGGTGCTGGGGTTTGTTAGTTGGGTTCGACGATGGTATGTTTTGGAGCTTGGGGGTGTTGACGGAGGCTCCAATGAGTTTAGAAGACTATCAAGCAAGAATCTGTGACGAGATCGAGAAAGGTCTGCATGTACTTACACCACCTTTCATGAGGGGCTCACTGGGCGCGACGTGTCCAGCAAACTGACGACCGTCGCTGACAGCATCGGGGTTCTGGTTCTGGCTCATGGTTGCAATGTGTGTTTGATATAAATCGCGAGCTTTGAAATGTGATGTAGTGGATGGGTATATGTGAAGGTTGTTGAGTAGGAAGAGGGGTGTCGTGTGCTATGTGAAGTAAACTTTCATCATGGGCTTTCTATAATCCCATATGATAGCGTCACCACCTTTGACATCAACTCGACGTCATGTCAAGCCGCGCTAGTTAAGCCATCTGTGGTAATGGGCTCTGCTGAGAAGAGCGGGTACCTGACGTCGGCAATTTGATCCGGTGTCCTGCGATTTGACCAGACTTTGCTTTCTGATCGGCGATGATAAAGGTTGAGGGGTACGAGGGGCTATTGTGAGTGAAAGGGACTCTGTCGGAACAGCATTCCGAACATTCCGACGTTGCGATCGACCGACATACATTTAGCACCATGACGTTGATGAATAGAAAACGAAGTCTTGGCTGCAGTAAAAATCGCGTAAGTAATTAGATGTTGTGGTATTTGCGACAAGAACAGATTAGCTGTTGGTGATAGAAGTTATGCAGCCAACGCCTATCGCGACAAGATTGACATAATCTGCTTAGTAGGGTCAGCCGCAAGTACACCAAAGTCAGTAAGGCTTCTGTAGTGAGCCCATCCATTGTTTCATGATGTGACCGTACGGTTTTGTGTCTCACACAACTGAACTCAGACATCAAGTGATGATTTTGACCAGACTTCATAACTTTTGTGTATTGCTTGCCGTTGGCTTCAAGAGCATGGAAGCTCTGACAACCTGTAATAGTGTCGACGATGATTTTGTGTCGTAATTGCGTTTTGCATCTGCCTCGTGGGTATCGTAGGGTATCACTGCCCGTCCAACGTCCCCGATTCTCGCCGCTGCTCTGCCCAGAGCCCGTCGCCCCAGGCCTGGAGCTAGAAGTAAACATCTCTTATTCATGTCTCGCTCATTCCTCCTCTTGTATGAACGGGTTCGGGATTTCTTCGCTTCCGTCGACGGGCGAGATGACGACCAGAAGAGTGCCGCGCGCGACAATAAGGCCAAGCTTGCGATAGCGGATGTTGCCGTCCTCGTCTGGGTTAAGTCAGCTTTGTCAATTTGAACGCAATGTCTAAGAACATACCAGTCAGGGCCTCTTTGACCTCATCCAGGACAAGGTTCATGAGCTGATCGTAGCCTTTGAGCGTGCCAATGACTGCAAGAAGTTAGTTCCCCGCGCTCCTTCCCGACTGTCCTGCCTTGCATACCTTCTCGTCCGCCACTGAACTTGACGGTGATCTGCTTGTCCATGTACTTGCTCAGATCAAGAATGTTCTCTTTCTTCGGGCGCTCAGTCTGTCCGCCTGCACCGCCCGCTTGTGCACCGCCACGACCGCCACCTCGACCCCCGCGGTCGCCGCCCCGACCTCCGCCTCGACCCCGGAATGCGCCTCGCTCAGACATGGTAGTAGCGTGGAGAGGGAGAGACGCGTTTTGGATGTTGAGGCTTGTGGTGACGTGCAGCGGCCGCGCCCAGTAAGAGGTGGTGGTCTGTGCCGCTCCGGGAAAGGCTCCTCCCACCCCACATTCCGGTCACGTGCGTGGCTTTGGTGTCAGGCGACGCAGGGGTGGAAACA